AGACAGCTTGTCTTTGACATGATTCACAACTGACTTGTTGGGCAGTCAGTGTAAGCCTTGCGCTTCCCCTGCTCCATATTCAAGCCATCATGGCACCGAATAGTTTGCTCGGCTGCATCAGTTTGCCATTCACTGATGCTTGGTTCTCCTGCAGCGCTCTCAGGAGAGACCGAGCACCGCTCCAGGTCATGCAAGGTCTAAAGGTAACGCAGGAGAAGCACATTTAGGAAGCTGATCCCCATGCCCAGCTTGTAGTAAGAGTCAATAAGCTCCTTGCTGTAAGTCATCCCGAGAAGGGTGACGGTAGCATTTCTGGCAAATGTGATTGGTCGCTTTATGACTGTGTGATGAGAGAGGTGAGAGGGGGAGTGCTCGGGGACAGATCTACCCCCTCTTCCAACGCAAAGCAGATTGCAAGCAGAACTCCTTCTCCTCCTGCTCTAGCTCCTTGACCATCAGTGCCTACGGAACCAGTTTGATAATTCATTCCTAAGCCAATAAGCCACATTGTGCACCAGTTGCTATCTGCTATGCTGACACCGATGGAGGACAGTGCTGCTTCGACATAAGAACCACCCTCCCCCCCCCCCCCCCCACAGACGCGTCACAGTCTGGGTCGCTCTGTCTCCTTCGAGGATGGGAGTGGAAGGCAATCTTGCCCTCGCATGAATAGGGTGACTTGACCGTGGATGTTGGGAAGCCATACGCACAGAGAAGGTTTATCCTGTCATCTCTGAGGAGGCTCTAAAGTGCCCTTAGCTTATGTTCCTCAAAGATAACTGTTCTGATGTGGTCAAAGAAGATCATCTTCACTTATTTTTCTGATAGCTGCATACATAATTTCAACCAGCATTTGAGGGTGATATCTGATCTCAAGCACGCAGGGCTGATCAAATGCAGGATCGATCAGACAGTCGATTTTGTCTTGCAGGCTCTGATCTTCCATGGCCAATGTGTGTCTCTTGAAAACTGGCCATGCGTGATCATACGAAATCAGGATTGGCTTTGATTCTGGGTGCTTTGCTTAATCCATGTTACAGCTCCATTAACATTTTATTTTATGATGCATTGCCCCCCCCCCCCGACTCGATTGCAGCTCCTCGGCAGCTGAAGCCGCAGCTGGGCAACAGAACTAGACAACAGACATAGACAAAGACTGAGATTGGCATGCGTCAACCTCTCTTTCTCTCTTTTTTGTAGGTATGTTTCGAGTTTCTTGTCTAGTTTCTTGGCATTTCAAAAGGTCAACCTGAATGTATCACAGACACACTGTCAGACAGGACATTTATTGCAAATGACAGTTTTGTGGATATCTCAAAACTTGTTCTGACCGCTCCATTACAGGGCCTTTTTCTTGATTTTCCCACATCTCAATTGAGGTAATGGGATCGGTGGCCTTGTCGCAAAGCCTACCACACTGGAGGACACATGGAACGGTGGACATTGTCGTAAGCTATGTTCTCAATTCACATCACAAACCAGGGAAACCACAGCATCATTACAGTGCGCGTACCAATCCGACGAAACAATAACATTAAGAAGTAGCAGAAGTGTTTGTGATATAAAATATATAAAAAGCAAATAATTTGGTGCCAACATAATGTGCAGTGATGATGATTATGATGATTGTCGTAGTCAGTGGGGACAAAACCTGAAAACGAAGTGTGCTTTGTTAAAACAAGACAGAACTTCATTGTGCTAATCATGTTTAAAACCAGCTGATATGGCCCTCGATCCCATTCGGACTTCACTCTTTAAGAACCATTAACCATCATGTCTGGCTGTGGGGTTCTCGCTCCGTTTATGCTGGATGGGTCCAGGACCTTCTTCAATTGCATCAGCGCAACGATTTTGCCAAAATAATGTGTTCATTCATGATTCTAGGTGCTCCCGTTTGAAATTTATGTTTTTGCTCTATCGAATGGGGGTCATCTTGGATTTCTGGGTCAAAATGACGTTATATCGTCAAACTGATGTCGGAATCAGAATCCGCATGGTCGACTTCTAGGTGCTCTGGCTCAAAAGTTAATTTTACAAGATGGCGCCGGCGGCCATCTTGGATTTGGCCCCCAAGCGAAAAATGCCGGGATTTTTGGGAGGGACCGGGGCGCTAATTTCTTTATAAATGGTCCATAGAAGTCAAATCCATCGTCAAACCATCCTAGCCAGAGAATGGTCACGGAACTTATGTTTTGGACCCAACTAATATATATTCGAAAACGATGTAGCTCCATCGATCAACATACCAAAGCTACGGTTGTACGGGGTGTATAAAAAAAAAAAGCGGTACCCAAACCCCAAAAATTATAATTCATATTTTAAAAAAAATATGTGGCACCAAACATAATAATGACCGGAAAGCCAATTTCATGAGCTACTTGTTGATGATGAACATACTTAAATTGCTCAATCTGTTCAAACAATATCACCATTTAAACACAATGGAAATGACTCTAAAACTTCTTCCGTCTAAACATGATATTTCAAGAATCGTCGTCACGATAATTGTCTTGAAACATCACCCGGAATAAAACCTCAGTTTCTAAGTTAAAAATATTCAACAAAGTCCTCTTGAAAGCCCGTCTTTAAAAAAAAGTGGATTTTATGAATCATATTGTTTGCCTAACCAGGGCTGTTAATAAAGATATTGTGTACTACAGCTGTTGACAGTTTTGAAGCAAGTATTCTCTGTCATTTTCTTGGTTGTTCCAAACAGTCAGAATACACAATAAACTGCTTGTTTTTTTGACGAAATTGCTTTTACATGGTGATATTCCTTGAGTGGATTGAACAATTGCAGTAATGTTTTCATCTAAAAATAGCTTATGAAATTGGCTTTCAAATCATTACTATGTTTGGTGCTACAACATTTTGTAAATATTAAATATATTTTCGGGGATTTGGGTTCAACTTTTTTTGTTTTTGATTCACCCTGTATTAAAACAAACCAGTTCAAGACACACAATTCTACATTCTTTGCCATTTTAGGTTCAACATTGTTCATCTAAATATGTTTACTACTTTCAGGAGGCACACGTTGATATTGTTGCATTTTTTCAAATGCTGCTGATGTCAAATTATCAAAGAGGTCTTTAAAAAATCAGAGCAAAAATGCTTAAATGCAATGCAAATTTGAGCTGTTTATAAAGCTGTTATTTTGTGAACATTGCAAACACGAAAACATAAAGGAATCGCTGTTTCTCATACTTAGTAGTAGAAACATTTATTTCAATGTTGCCATTTCCACACAATAAAATGTTACAATGCCGTGTAAACATATTATACAGAGCGAAATGCAAGGAGTTATGTAATTGTGTATAATAATGTACATGGATCAATACTAGAACAAATTTACGACAACATTTAGGTATAAGGTGAAGCGTCACGCTTTTTTACCCTAACCTATCGACAGACAAGTTGACATGACCAAGAAAAACAGAGACAGTGACAAAGGACAAAATGGACAACAGTGAGACACACAAAGACACAACCTCGCAACCTACTTTTTAAAAACTTTTCAAACATCTGTTAAAATCTGTAAAACAAAATTGAAAAAAAGTGGGTGCACAAACATCCAAAAAGCAGAGTCGAAAATAGCCAAATAACTCTACAAAGTGAAATCAAATATTGATCCACTCAAAAAAGTCTATGAACATACCAAAAATACCAAAGTTCAAACTCAAAACTTGTTGAGTTTGAACTAAACTCTAATTAAAAAAAAAAAATTTACAAACGATTTTTCAAAATAACGAATTTTATATCACATAGGGATACACTTTAATACAGGCCGTGGTTCATAATAAGTAAAAGATACGTAACGTCACCCATTTACCAACTTTTTTATAAAATAAATTCGATTTTATGGTGCAATTGAAATTCATACATTTTTTCTAACAAGAAACAAAGAATTAATGATATCGGGGCGAGTCTCCAACCACCTAAGAATAACCCAACCGTTGCAGAAATATGTAGGTTTTACAATCGTCATTACTTATTATGCATGTTAACATAACAAAAGTGAACAAATAACATTATTTCTGAAATATTTTATTTGTTCACATTTTTATTAACACTTTATTAACAATATTTCATTCCACAGTGGATACAAATATAATTGTTGTCAACAATGTTTTTATGCATACTTGTTTAATATCTCTCAAAACTTTTCTACGAAAAGCAAATTATAACGAGCACTCAAAATTGTAAATTTATTGCCTATACGGAACTGTGCGGTGCGAATGTAAACTAATACATTATTTATTCAACCATGCATCTAAATTCCCGATTAGATTATAGGAACAGATTATTTCTTATTAATTGGTTCATATGATTACCAGCTTAAGAAATGACAACATATTTAGAATGCTGCTGTCCGACTGGTTATCCCAAGAAGGATAGATCGTTAAGCGGACATGCATCCATACTTAAGGAACTACATTGGCTCCCAGTTATAAATACTGTAAGGGTTGAATTCAAGATCTTTTGTTAGTTTTCAGACTTATCCGTCGAGTTGAGATCTGTTCATGAGTTTAACATTCGCACTAAAAGCTGCGACGGGGATAGGTTCAGCCACCCTAAAGTTTGTCCGAAGCCTACCAAGGCATACAGGGATTGTGCTTTTACCATGTATACAGCTGGGGAACAGACTTTAAGCTTTATTGAGAAATATTTATGAATTTGGAATTTTTCAATCACGGCTTAAAATATTTTCTTCTTAAAATGAGAGTTTTATTTTTATCTTATTTTCAATGATTTAAAAAAAGTAGTGTTGATGTTTTGTAAACCGTTTTGATATATCAATGCTAAACGTGTATTTAAAATTAATCATTTTTATCATACCTGTTAATGGTACCCATAGGAGACATTTTGTTTATTATTATTAAATTGAACATAATTTCTGTTAAATCATTGGTTATTGTTTCGGCAAAATAAAAAAACCAAACATTTTGTTGCGGGGAAGCACTGCTCCTGTATAATTATCCGTGGTGATTATTTATTAATTAATTAATTGACTCCGGGTAAAGGAGGAACCCACTGAATGAGGTGTAGTGATGGGTGGGTTCACCATACGCCCTACCGTACATGGTAACATGCACCATATCTCCACGCTGCAGAACCAGCACCGCGCTTCCAGACAACTGACCTCGTTGATTTGATTGACCATAGGTGGAAATCACCTTGTGGTCGTTTTTAACAAGATGGATGTGAAAGCTACCGCTGTTGCTATTCTTAAGAACAGAAAACGTAAATACGTAGGTACCCGGCACACTACAGGTGAACGTGCCGGTCTCGAGATCGAAGGTGGTACCCGGCAGAAGCGTCTCGGTCTGCTGGAAGGGCAAACGGGTGTCGACACTTGTAGATTCATCCGAGCTGCTCGTCCTCACCACGGTGAATGCCACCCGCTGGTTGGAGTCGTCTGGTGTCTCCCCTGGCTCACCCTTCTGACCTTTGACACCAGTTTCTCCAGTTCCTCCAACAAAACCAGGTAGCCCTTTCGGACCTATCTTGCCGGGCAGACCAATCACGTCATCACCTTTAGACCCAGTGTTCCCAGGTGCTCCTCGCTCACCCATAGGTCCAATAGGGCCAATCTCACCTTGGTGACCTGCATCGCCCTTTGACCCCGGCTGACCGTACGGCCCCATCGGTCCTACTGGGCCAGGCAGACCTGGTATGCCGGGTATTGCGGCAGGTCCCTGGCAGCACTGCTGACACTCCTGAGACGCAGGACCATCGCCATCCGAGGGAACCGGCCCAGTAACGGAAGCTCGGAGCTTGACAGAGTTACCCAGAAGGAGGGCGATTGACAGAATGGTGGCCACGCAGATCTTCATCTGAAAGGAAAACAATACGGGGCCTAAAATTACAAACAAAATCACTACATGAACTGAAGAATTTGTATACGAGACATAATTTGGAGGAATCATTATTCAGAGAATGTGTCGGCGTGATATGGGAGTGGCCTATCCGAGAGCAAGGGGATAACATGTAAATAAAAAGATGGGTTCTATTTAAATCTGTTGCCATGGCAACTAAGGGCAATCCACACTTGTTAGTATTATTGTTTTACCCGCCGATAAAAGTTTGGAAAGGAGACCGAATTACATTATTTTTCTATGGGGACGGCACGCCCTTTCCACGGTCATGATAGAATCAATTAAACATCATCACACCGACCTCGATGGTTTGCTCTTGAAGACTTAAAGATCAGGTCCAAGAAGAGATCACAAGGAGTTCAGTGTAGGCTGAAAAAAAAACGAACAAAGAAAACCATTAACGTTTATACTTGAGTAAGGAATGAAATAATGTTATTATTGGTTTGAATTATATTGTGAGTTTTTTTTTCATTTTTATAAATCACCATTCGAAAACAGGAACAATTACACACTTGTAAATAATGGACAAATTATTATTTGACCAGTATTTTCCTTGCCGAATACCTCCAGAAAAACAGCATGTTTTAATGTGGCTATGTGAAATTTCTCGGGAAACTATAAATGCTGCCTGAAATCACCATTCAATTTATTCAAACACATTCATTAAAATTATTAAACGTCCTTCCTCCCCCAAATGTATGCATTTTTTAGGCACTATCAAGTGATTGAAGAGTTTTGAAAGCATAATGCGAGTTTTTAAAACAGCAAATTCTTCATTCCAATAGCTTTTTCCCCGTCTAATTTCACAACTTGCCTTTTCAATATTCGAACACTTTCTTTCAAATTCGAATATAAATGCGCAAGCATTTTCAAACCCAATTGAATTTAGCGAACGATCAAAATATTTAAGGGTATCTTTTCTTTACGCGTAAAATAGTAGGCATTTCAGGTATTTGCATTGAATTTATTGTGCTTTTGATTTCAGTCCTGCTCGGGAATTCACTTTCATGCATACGTGTACCAAAGTAGAAGATGTTTAATACAATCCGGCAGTTTAGCAAGATCAGTGGCGAATCCAGGGGTGCAAAGAGGCGCTTCCCCCAGCAGTGACCGAAAATTTATCAAAAAAGGCAAATTTCAATTGACAGAGCCCTTCCACCCTCACCCTTTCTCTTGAAGATATTATGTGGCAGTGTGAAAACAAGGTAAAAAATGACATGAGGTTTTGAAAAAATTGTATTAAGGAATGTACAAAGAAAATTTAAAATGTCAGGGAAGGAAACAGGAAACGTGCATATCAGAACTTAACAGTTAAATATTAAGTGTCTATTAAGTGACAGAAAGAATGAACTTTTTAGCACTCGCCCAAAAATCGGCCTCTCACGAAAAAAAGACAGATCTTTTTTATGTTGACCAGTTAGTTTTTGTAATCAGTATGTGGAAATAAAAAGATAATGGAAAAAAAAATACTGATAATCAATCAAATTTCTTTTCGCCAATACGATTGACGGTTAATGCAGTCTTCAATCTCTGCTATCTGTATCTTTATTTTATTTCTTTTAGTTTTTATTTTGTATTTTGTATTTTTTTTTAGTTTGTAAATTCGATGTAGGCATACACAAAAATGAAACTTTTTTTTTTCCGGAGAACCCGGTGACGATATGATGAGTAATCTGCCTTTCTAAAAAGAAAGATGCAACATCTAAATTGACAGTCTTCATATACAAAATTGCATGTCTGAGAATGACTTTAAGTGATTTAGGAATTAGCATTCGTATTTGAAAGCACACGATTAAATTTGAATTTAACGAATTCACCCGGAAATCCTACATTAATGATGCTTCAAACAGAATTTCTAAGCAGCGATTGGCCATTTGTCACGGTTTGACGGTGGTTGTAGGGGAGGGGGATCCCTCACTTCTTTAAATATCACTTTCGCACCTTTGTTTTGAATCGAATGACGTTTCCTGTTTAACCCTAAAGGGGCGGGGGGGGCGGAATCCGCCCCCCTCAACATTTTCCATGATAGCTTTTAAAAAAAAATGTTCGCGACCCGAGCTGTTATGACTTTTTAGCCTCGAGCTTTGCGCATCTTTTGATACCAAAACCATAAAAATCGGACCACGGGTTGCCGCGTAGCGAAAAATTTTCCGGCGCTACGCGCCGTGAAAACTTATTTTGTTCATATACGTCGTGTACACAGAGCAGAATTGCCATTCGTACATATGAATAATTAATTAGCCATAATTCCAAAACCCTTTGACCTATAGTCATGAAATTTCTTGGGTATGTTTAGGAAGTGTTGCTCTATGCATGTGCCGAGTTTCAAAATGTTTCGTCACTCGATGGCCGAGATCTTAGGGGGGGCGGAATCCGCCCCCCCCCCCGGCTAAGAGATGGTCAAAATAACCCGGCCCCTTTAGGGTTAAAATGGTGACCGAAACGTTATCGGTGCATAAACAAACACAGTCTTCCGCCAAAATACTATGCTATTGTAACGCTAAATTGAGAGAAAATGTACAATAAGAACTACTCACTTGATGTAATGTTCTTGAATTTTATCACGAAAGATTTCATCAACACGTGAGCAGATTGCTGGCTTTTAAAAATGAGTTATTGAGTTATTTTCTGCATTGATATGGAAAACCGATCTCATACCAGTGAAGTATAGTGGCGGAAATATGACAGGTGGACCACCGCAGTTAAGTTACAGTCGTTACAAAAAAAAATGTTTCCACGGTGGTGGGAAATCAGCGCACCTGTTTGGCTGTTAGCATCAGCCCCCATCTGCTTGTCAACCATGAATGTGTCTAGGAAAATCTTTAGGGTTTAAGAAAATCTGTTCCATTATTGGAAACCTTAAACACTGAAAATATTGCTTTTTTCAAAAAGATATTTAACAAGATCTACGTGACATTCTCAGTGGAACCCTGAATGTAAACATGGCTGAATGCATCTGAAAGCTGGTGCTTCAAACGTTGAAGTCGGACAGCAAAGCAGACGGCCCGAATAATTTGTACAAACATCAAATATTTACATGATTCCTAGAAATGAATCCAGCTACATAAAGCAATTTGAACTTGAATAAAGTGTGATCATGGTCCGGTCCGTTCGTATGTGCGCCCTCTAGTCTATTCTGACCAGTGACACCTTTATCACGCAATGCTGAAAAGTAACGCTCAGGCCTATACGTGTATAGTGATCAAACCGGAATGGCGCACTGTGAACTAGTGGAATGACACAGTTTAAAAACAAAGCACAGAGGGTAATGAGATTATCCCAATTTTAAATAACACAACATAGGACAGGATGTTTGAGATGTCCCGATTTCCTTTATACGTTCTTCCGTGGCCAACTTCCGCATAACTTTTATTCCTGAATTAGTTAGAGTGATTGCCGGAAAAAAGGTGAGCGCATCGCATCGGCATTTTATGTTTGATACAATTAACAGGGAAAACTAGCAAGAAAATAAAGGGGGTGAATGGTCATACCGATATTATGGGTCAAGTGTCGAGCTCTCGCAATGTTTCTTTCTTTTAACCAACAAAGTTTTAATTCATCATCTGAAATATTGTGTAAGTGCGTGAACAATATGCAATTTCATGTAATACGCTATTGAAAACTTCCTACCAGGTATGACTAGAAATCTGGCGAACCTGAATGGCAATAAAAACTATAAAACTTTCATAGATTTATAGTGTGCTATCGGTAGCAACAACAATTCAAGTGAATTTTCAAGAGCTAGAGAAATCAGTCAGAATTTTGGACAATTGTTTGTTGAGAGTGCACCATGGAAGAAGCAGCGATAATATTGTCATACAGGAATTCCTCATTCAGAACAAATAAAATAAAATTTCTGATTATTTGTTCTTAGCTTTTATTGCCCGAAACTTTGGCCTCACAAAATATTGGTATGAATCTGCAGCAACTGTTCAGACTAAGAGTTAATTCAGCTATATTATATACATTATAATATGTGGGGATTATTCAAGCACCTAGGGATAAGTTATCGAGTAACCGTATGGAAACGGGATCATCATGGTCGGAAATATTTATAGCGCACTGTTTTGGCTATAAGCACATTTTTGGGTCAAAATCATAAATCAAAAAGATCAATCCCAAATTTGGAAGAATAGTCGTCAAAGATTGTTTCAAACACTCACCGTGCAATTCTTGTTCGATCTTGCAAACAGTTCTCTCGAGTTGTCGTCTGGACGTGAACATGAGTTGCGGTCGTTGTGAGGAGTGAGCCGGCAGCTTGTGACTTAAATATTGACTTCGATTTCCCGAGCAGTGACTGAGGAACTTGCAAGCCCGGTTTGTGATTGGCCCCTGCGCGCTGTCAATTATATATCACAGACTCGCTTCATATTGATGAGAGGGAAATGACGTTAATATTGCATTGTCACACATTTAACCTGAAGCCTGTATCACTGACACTGATATAGACGCATCTGATTGGTGGAATGAGCGTAGGGATGTCAGTGACACATTCAAACACGTGGATTGTGATTGGCACCTGTCAATCACAGACGACTTACTTGTGGTCACCGACTTGTTGGGTGACTAACTATGATTGGTGAATAGAATAATGACGTACACCTGCCATACGTGATTCGATCAGTGTTGATTTTGCGCTTCATGTTATTTAATGGAGCCACGCATTTGGTGGCTAGTATTGTGTAGTCTGGTTATGCAGTCTACATTTTTAATAGAAAAACGAAGTCGTCATAATTTAGCTTAAAAAGAAAAAGTAATAAGAACTTCAATATATTGTGTGCATAATATCCTGTCCATGTACGGTTGCCGCCCTCTTACGATGTTACAAGTACACTTATTTTGCAGAACCCAGCCGTTCCCAAAATTATAAGCGTTCAACGTGCGCTCGGCCCCGCCAACTTCTCGGCATGCAAACGACCTTGCACCTGCTGAACCCGTCCCCGCTAATTGAGGCCCTC